GTTGGATGGAGCTTGACGACGCAAAACCTTCAATGGAAACGTAATGCCTACAAAGAAACTCAGATGTTGTGGAAAAAAGTGGAACATACGTACCGATAGGAAAGCCCATTTGGAAATGTAGTTGGTGAACTGGTTAGTGTCCGCCCAGCGACAGCGCAGATATCCATAAAGGTTAGCTGAAGTCATTGACAGACCCAGCAGCGCAATAATCATCCATTCCCACTGCAACACAGAGACCCATTGTGGATATGAACATAACGCACACATATCGTTAGCACAACAGTGCCAGAGATTCTGCTCCTTTCTCGGCTCGAAAGTGAACGACGATGGCAACGAGAACGTTCTCGGTCATAGTAGCCCCATTAAAGGCAGTTGGCACGATGGTTTCCTGTTTAGCCTAAAATGCTAGTAGGGCGCTGTATAGTGGGGAAATGGCGAAAGAACGGAGTGAAACGGTCAAAATCCTGCGAAGAAAAGCCTCCGTTCTCAGTGACTTGTAAATCGATTTCGGACGAGTTTCCCGTAGGCATCTTACCAATCACCGCTACCGAAGATACGGCTGCATATGTGTACCCATGTATGCATGCAGCATCACGGCCGCTTCATACCAATCCCTTCGCTTCATAATTTGCTTAGCAAATGAATGAATACGAGCGTCAGGAACGGTCGTCCATTTGTGGGCGGGCGGGCGTTTGGGACGTAAAGTTGTGGCTTGATAGGGCCCTTATAAGGGCACCTTCCTCGGGGAAACCGCTATGCAGCGCCTGCCCAGGGTCGCGGAATTCTATCCTGCCAGGAGTATTGATCCTAGTCGTCTTGGGGAGTTTATCGTGCCAACTGCCTTTGACTGTTAGTGGCCCCACTCAGGGAAAAAGAGCTTTGTCTCCATAGCTGTGTGGGACCGACATTCTAGTCTGTCATCCTTTGTCGCCTATCTCTAGCTCTAGAGTACTTACAAGTTGATTTCGCCTCCCACTTCTCAGGGCAGAGAACGAATTTCTTTACAAAGGAGAGCTTTACTTTCGATATAGTCCTGTCTGTTTTGATTCTGGTAAGGCATTCGCGATTACAAGTCTTGTGGCCGAGTCTGTGTGGTTGCCTTACCAGGACCTATTACCCAAGAATTGTAATCGCGGAATCACAAGTGAAAATGAAGTTGGTATATAGCGCAGGCGGCCTCGCGCGTGAACCATCTTTTCTGAGTAGTTGACTGGACAAAGCAACCTGGTATCAAATCAAATAGGCCGTGGCATCCTACGTTCTATACCGTTTATTTCACGGCTTTATCTTGAAAAAGACATTTTTCCCGTTTGAAGTATTGAGGATTATGACGACTTCCCAGCCATCACTCAACGGTTCTAGTTGCAGAATGGCATTCATTCAAGCAGTGGTCTATAAAACTCAACCAAAAGAAAGAAATTTATCGATTGATGGTTTGTTATCCACAATGAGTTAGGTGTTGAGAGATTACCCCCCCCCCCACTCCCACATAGCGCGAAAATAGCGGTATGGAGGTGAGGTGAGGCAAGAGAATCATACTTCGCCGCGCCAGTGGGCGTCGCGTGCGATGTCGCGCCTGCTACTGATGACGATTTTAGGTGGTTTAGGTCGAGAATAAAATATGTAAGACCAAAATTTGAGTTAAGTGCTACCATGTCCTTGTCTGCATGAATCCGATGATATAACTTAAAGTGCAAATTAAGGAAACGTCGCGCCCACTGCCACGCCCGACGAAGCGGCAGTGTACGATCCCCTTGCGCGTCTCCCTGGGGTGGAGACGGGGAGGGGGGGGGGGGGGGGGGGGGGCTGGAGCTGCCAATGCTTGACTGACTCGGTATTATGCTGTGCTGCTACATCAATGCACTGAGCTGGTTTCGCGCTTAGATTCCTGAACAACACTCAACATATCACCTGTATCACCTGTGCTCCCGTTGATCATCGAGTTCCTCGAGCGGGCGCCAGTAACGTCTCCATTCGTCCCTGCAACGTGCAAGAGTTGCCCAATGAACTCTCTGCTCGAGGGACACGATGAACTTCATACCATTCGTTCAGAGCTTTCACGAAGAAGTCTGACCATCGCATAGGCGGTCGTCCAGGCGTTCGCTTGTCCCGTGGAATCCAGTCGGTGATCGCTCTGGTCCAGCGGTCGTCCTCGAAACGCATGACGTGTCCGGCCCACCTGATCTTCGAAACCTTGGCAAATGCGGCGGCGTCTCTGATCTTCGATCGTCGGCGGAGTGCGGAGCTCCGGATTCCCTCTCTCACTTGCGTGTAGCGGGAAACTCCGAGCATCGCCCTTTCGATGGCGCGTTGAATAACGCCGACCGCATGCTCATCCTGCTTTCGTAGAGTCCAAGTCTCTGAGGCGTACGTCAAGGCAGGAAGGACCGCGGAATCGAAGAGGTGGGCACGGAGCTTGGTGTTCTTCGTCTTCTTCGCTACTCCCTCGATGTTCTTGAAGGCTCCCCAAGCCGCTCGCTTCCTCCTGCTCAGCTCTGGAGCTAAGTCATTCATCATATTGATTTCACGACCGAGTCAACACATATAGTCGCAAAAACAAGATGAGGTTTCTTCTCGACTTCCCCTCCTGCTTTTCTTTTTCAAAAACAGGATTCTAAGTGGGTCTGGAAATGACGGCGCCAATTGAATCCCATCGTTGTGAGTTTCCCTGTGGACGCTCAGGTTTTGAAAAAGGCCATGTTGAGATCACCGCCAACCAGGGATACGCATTAGTCCTCCACTCAAAAGAGAAGATACTAGCTGCGGAACTTCTTCGCTTTGAGATAGTTTTTAGACTCAGCTCTGGATTTTAGTCTTTCTCATGTATAGTGGGAATGGGTTTGCGACTGCAGCAGCGTGCCACTTTGTCCGGTCAAATGCCGAGGACGGGGTAAGGGAAAGTGATACCTCGGTGCCACCTCCGTACTCCGCCAGAACACTTTGCGTGTCTGCCCCTCCTGCTTCTGGTTGTTCTCTAACAGTGAGTGCTTGTTTCGTAGCGGAATCTTACTACCGGCGCAAGAGCTGCATTTTGAGGATATGGGGACGGTACCTAGGTGTCACTACCTTCCAGCTCCTATCCTGTCCACTTTTGAGCGGAAAGATGGCATGCTACTGCAGCTGCTGACCCATTCACCACGAACATAGAAAAACGTGCTTGTATGTGAGTGTACAGTTCGTCTATGAGGTTTTGAAAGTCTCTCTGGAACCTGGGTCACTATGACTTTATTTGTTCGG